GGTCCACATTTACCTTATATTTATTTGGAATAAATAAATAACTCTGTTGTAATTTGTCTACTGTTGTATATCTAGAAAGAAAAAGAGCACAAGACTCATTGTAAAGTATATAATAATAGTGATTACTAGTAGTTTAGTTTTAAACTTGAACTTCTCTCTGAACTACAATCATGTATGCCCCTGCTGTCTGGGCCATACTAACAAATAACACAAGCCATCTGTTTAATTTAAGTAAGAAGAGGAAGCCATGCTTTCTATTTTTTACATTATATCATACACAGCTTTGTGTTTCCATTCATTCTGATAATCTAGGATAATCATACATAAAACATTTAATACCTTAAAAACTTACTTTGTTGCAACCTCAACTTTGACCGGATTTTGTAAGGATGCTCTTTGAAGTTTTTGAACCTATGAAAAGGGAGAGAGATTCAAGAGAAAATTTGCTGACCATTTCTTATTATACAAGTTTTGATATTTCAAACATTAATTAAGGATAACAACACAGAAAGGGGATTCAAATGAGACTCTATGCAAGTGAAATGTTAGTACAAACTGGTTCCACTGATCTTAGATTGTAGTCTGCAAAGGGCTTACATGTTTCACAAAGTACAGTACTAAAACATTCTTAATACAGGACACAAAACAACATATGTGTCCAAATTAATAATATTTGATATTATAAATTAAATATAGTTTACAACAAATTAATATAGTTTACTACATGTAATATTGGCACCAGGCAGCCTGTGTCACAGACATAATTTAACCTTGGTTAGTAACGTCTGTGAAGCAGTACCAATATCCTTGTTCTGGGCCTCCAACAGACTCAACAAATTACCAGTTCTAAGTGCTTTTTGAATTTCCTTTCATCTTGATTGACAAATCAACACTAGCTTGTTTAACAGGCTAATCATGGCATTTACTCAAATCCTGGTACACAACTGGGGCCCCACAACAATGATTTCCAGGCTGTTTCGCAGATGGACTTAACCAGAGTTCAGATTCCTCTGTGACGTGGGATAGGACTGGTCCAATCAAGAGGTTTCTTGCACAGCTGTAACTTTCACACACAGATCACTGTCTATCTGATAATTAAGTAACTGACAAGATGGATACCTTTTTTGTCATGGTTGCAGAGTATAAGTAAGTTCTTCTTTCTTTTGGGATGATTTTCAATATCTTGTCAACCTACAACATATTCACATGTAGTTAACTAGGAGTAACAATAGATTAGGGAGTGCGTTTGACATGATTAATAGGCAGATAGTAAATGAGTTGAATCATTATTGTGAACTTTAAGGGGAGTTTTAATTGATTAACCCAGTTGGATGAAAGAAGTAGCAGTTTGTGTTTTTTTGTTATAAAGTGTGGATAAACGGTGGAGAGAGGATCAATGCATTAGTAAAAGTATATTGCAACTCCTTCTTCCTTGCATATGCCGAGCTTTGGTAGAGATGTAGTACATTATTGACAGCTCTTCACACCAAAGGAAAATCGTCAATACAATGCACATGATGCACCCATGAAAATTGACAGTAGCCCTTCCAACTCCTCACAAAACACCACCGCTCCACAATGAACGAACAAAAAAGGCAAAATGCGAAACCCAGAAAATGACAATATGTGTGTCAGTGTGTGTGTGTTAACTCTCATCCTTCAATGAGGACCAGGTTCAGGCAAATTTCAATATTATTATTACTTATTTTCAAGCTGCTTGTGGAGGAACATGTTTTATTTGGGAAATTTTAGTGACTTAAAACTTATACGTCACAAGTGGTATGTTAGGGATCCTTGGATCTGCACGCATGGCAGTTACAGGTGTTTAAGGAGCAAATGGGTTAAAGCTAAACTTGCTGAGGAAAAGGTCTGCCTTAATATTAATAGCAAACTTTAGAAAATAGTGAAAGCCTGGAAACTAGAGAGGGTATGCAAGCATTTATTGGATTGTTTGGGGGGGGGGGGGGGGGGGGTGAGGGGAGGTGGTGGTGGGGGTTGGTGGGGGGGGGGGGGGGGGGGGGGGGGGGGGGGGACATGGTCTTTGAATAATAGGGTCTTAACCTTGCAAAAATGCACCTTGCAGGTGATACAACCCCTGTAGCTTTTGTAGCAAATCTAAACTTAAGAAGGAATAATCTGGATGAAAAACTTGGAATGGTTTTTTTTTATAGCTATGGTACATGTAGGTAAACTATTCACTTGCCTCTTTTTCAAAATCAAGATTTAATATTCTGTCAGCTTCATCCATGATCTAAAGAAAACCAAAATTGAAACTATTAACTTAATTTAATGATCTCAAAAAAATTCTGCACCATTAGCATCATGAAAATAATGCACAGCCAGTTTGAAGGTTAGTAACATACCAAGTACTTCAATGTTCTTAAGTTAAATCCTTTTGTGTTTTCCAAATGATCTATCAGCCTTCCTGGAGACGCTGAAACATTTACATTAAATGAGTTAATAAGAGTAAAACAACTTGTAAAAATTTGTAAGTAATTCACGAAGGAAACATACTACTGTTTGGTTCCTAGGTTTGAAATTTTCCTAGGTTTGAAATTTTCAAAAAAGGAAAATTTTTAAAAAAGGAAAAAAGGAAAGGATGTTTAAAAACATCATTTTACGAACCTATAATAATATGAGGTTTCTTTGCCAACATCAGAGCTTGAGACATCATATCAATTCCTCCAACAATCACAGCTGTAAACAGATTGATGTGATCAGTGGACATGGTCACAAAAAAGTTACAAATTAAGAGAAATCTGCAGTGGGTCTGGGACTATGTGTAAGCATGATCAGTCTTTGTCGAATAATGTACCTTGTATCACCAACCTCACAAAAATATTATTGTTAGGCAAAGTTAGCTGCATGTACACAAAATAATGTACTATAGTTCTTGGCAAGACTTATTGTTTTATTTCTCTGATGATGAGGAAACCTTTGAGAGTGTTTCTTAGTGTTTCCTCTTATTAAATTTATCCTAATGTTCATTAGGTATTGTGGAGTGGTGTAAGCATTGTTCAGTGTTTTTTCTGTCTACATGTTTGACATTTGGTGATTACACCATCTGCAACACCAAGAAACTAGTGACAGTTGAAGCCCACAGCTAACCAATACATGCTACACAAGGCTATAAAAATGGAAATACCCATATCATCATTTCTTGATGGGCTATTTCATTATTGTTTCTTATTATTAATTATTTTAATGTAAATTATGTCTGCATGTAATTTGTGAAACACGACATTAGCAACTATTTTAAGTTATTAGGAAGCACCAGTGTATACAATAAAATTATTAACAATATTTACGTTGAAGCTATTTTTTTATCTCAGGTAATTTTGGTTTTTCTTTTGTTTTTGGGTATGGTAATGTATGCCAGTAAAGTTGAAATAAAAGAAAAATATAAATTACCTGAGATAAAAAACTAACTACAACATTTACCACATTTTACTCCTATAGTTGACCCTAATGCTTCAAACTGTTCGGAAATTTGAAATGCCAGTTCCCTGCAAAACAGGAAAGGTAAAAAAAGTCTTGTAGTCTAAATATGTGATGTATATTATTATTATAAATATGTATAATCCTTATGTAAAACTAGTATAGGGCCAAGACAAACCTTGTCGGAGTAAGAACGAGAGCATATAACCTCTGAGGATTTTCAAGCAGTGTCTGAAGAACTGGCAGTGCAAATGCACCTGTTTTTCCAGATCCTGTCTCAGCTAAACCAATAATATCCTTTCCTGAGCAAAAAGGAAAAAAAATCATAAACAAAACAAACGAAAAAAACTGGATTCTCCCGAAAGGAGTCGCACCACTATAATTATATATGACCTTCTGCTCATTACGTCCTAATAAACTCTCTCCCATTGAGCTACAGAAGGCTCTTGGGGGCTAAGGCTTAAAATCATAGTCTTTGAAAAAAATTATATTTCAGGACACTTCACAGAAACAGGGTGCAAAGAAAGTCAATTTTACAGCTTGCCCTTCGGGCAAGCTGTAACTAACATCTACTAGCCCGAAAGGCATTTTTACAAGCCTGAAAAAAAAATTTTTCACGAGCAAAATGAAAAAATGTTAATTAACTATTCCTGTCTTAATTACACTGTAAGTTAAAAAAATTACTGGCTTTATTTATTCATTACAATCAACTGTAGTTATTTAACAAAAGCAATAAATAACCGTAAAAAGTGTGAACTATAAGTAGACCTGGTAACATACTCTTCTTCTCTCGGCGCTGCCACACTGTAGAATTTTTTCTAAGTCCAACGCAACACGTGAATGATTAACATGCATTTTACAATTTAGAAAAAACTTTTTTCAAGAAAAAAAAACGGCGTTGGAACCGTGAAACCAAAGTTCTCAATGGACACACTAAACGACAACGTCGACAACGCGGAAAGCTGCCAGTGAAAGCGCTTCATTCTGCAATTTACCGCCAAAACAAATTTTAACGCGGGAGTATTTCTTAGCCGCTGACAGGGGGGATGTTTATATTATTAAAGGGCATAAAAATTTGATAGCTTTCATCAGTTTGCTTCTCATTCAAAAGTAGTGTATTCAGAAGATCATTTTTCTGAAGAAGGTTTGTTTGGAAGTCGGTTTTCCAAGTAAAGTTTCAAGTTCACGGGAAAGTGGAAAGTGCGAGAGCCGAGTCACGCATCAGTGAGCAAATGTCATCCAAACAAAAATTATGCAAATTTGTGGTTCACCTTGTTCCAGGTAACCAAAGGTTTTAGGTTTCAAAAGAACAAAAATGTTCGTTTTATTTCTGGCACCTTTTCATCAGAAAGCTTTTCGTGAAAAGTGAAAACAATACGATGTGGTCTATATATTTTAATCAACAAACACCTACAGTATCGGTGTTTAGAATTTGTTAAACCACATTGAAACGCACGTGACCAATACTTAAACCATAACAAATTTCTCACTAGAGTTCAGGATCAAAACCTTTTGTTTACGTTCCTCACAAATGATTATAAAGAAAATTTAGACAAATAGCTTTCTCTAAATCAGTAAGAATTAGTCAGGGGCAACATTTACCTCCAAAGTTTTTTCAGTATGTGCTTTTACTTTATGCAAGGGATCTCAATATGTCTCGTCTGACATGTAATGCGATAATTGTCTTGTTTATGCAGATTTCACCTTGTCGGAGCGACTTTCGGTCCGCAGGAATTTATTAGGAATTTAAAACATTTTGTCTTACAGTAATTCTGTAATTTTAATTCTCCGAAAAATGTTCACTTGTCCGTCAGGCAAGTTAAGCACAGAATTCACTTGCCGGATCGCAAAATCCACTAGCCCCGGGCTGTTGGACACGTCTTTCTTTGCACGCTGCAGAAACCATTCTTTTTTCAAAGGATTCAACTTCCTTGAAAAGAATTGGTCACCACCTTTGTCACAAAAACATGTTCACCATTTCTCCATTAGCCTGCGAAGATGGCCGTCTCTTCTCACTCCTCGCCACTTGGGACGAGAGATGGCGACATTCGCAGGCCAAATGTATTTCTCCATGATTTGTTGTATCTATTTTTAGATAGTGCTTTGTTGGTTGATTAAAGAAGTATATTGTTGTGATAAAAGATTGCTTACATACATGTGATTAACTACTGAAGTAAAAAAACTTCACTATCAAATTGCAGAGATTACTGGATTGGCATTCCATATAAGACATATAATTTTTTTGAAGCCACAATAAATCTAGATCGAAATTGATAACCGTATCAATCTCCTGCGGGATACACAATATATAATCACTTAACATTTATTGAAAGCGATAATTTTCAAAGAGTTTGGACAAGTAGGTACTGAATTCTGTAAAAAATTAAAAGTAGAAGAATAGAAGATTAACTGATTTGAACTGAGGTCTTTCTAATACCTTGTAAAGCCACTGGAATCGCTTCTCTCTGAATTTTGGTCGGAGATTTCCAGCCCAACTTTTGACAAGCTTCACAAAGAACGTCAACAACGCCCTAGAAAAAAGATCAAATTTTATACCTTTACGCACCTAAAAGCGCTACACTGCAATTTAAGACGCATGGAAAACGCTTACCAGAGATTCAAAGGTTACTGCTTGATCCTCCACTTCTTCTGAAGTCGCCATTTTGAAAGTTATTCCACGTGATTGATCGATTAGTTTTGTAACCAGGCCTTCAATTAGTAACCGCTCAGCTTCCAGGTGCAGTCATGGAAACAGACCCGAAATGGCGGATAGTGTGGACAATGTGCAAATGTTTATCTTCATGGAAACTTTGAAATCTTGCATTTGGAGATTTCTTGAGCCCTGTGAATTAGTGTGCGGGTAGTTTACCTTTATTTTGGTGAAACTGGGAGGCTGTTTGCGGTAACATGTCCACACCGAGGGCGCGAATGAGAAGCGAGCGCGAGGCAAAGTTATCAGATGTCAATAAGCCAGTGATTGGGCTTCGGCCTCTCAAGGAAAGGAACAAGCGATCAGAGGCTATGATCGAGGAACAGGTAGATGAATTTAAAAAAAACACTCAAATGTTCTTGATTGGCATGGAGGGAAATTTCTATACTTGAATAATGTGTGGTTCAACTTTTTGCGTGGTGTTGCGGTTTTGGGCCGTAGTCTGTCGATAGAACTGCCGAGCCTAGTTCATTTGTCACACTGCGCTTGCAATTGTACATAGGACATAATATTAATATTAATTTAATATATTTATGTAAATAGAATCTACGGCGTTACGCATTGTATGGGGTCTCTGGCTCTTTCGCACAACTCCAAAGGCTCTCTTATTATTATTATTATTATATTATTATTATATTATTTTTTATTACTATTGTTTGTTGCCATCAAATCGTAATAAACAATTTGACTTACATATATTACTATGCTCCCCCACCCCCCACTGGCATGGGGGGATTTTCAGAAATTCCACCCTGATGATATGCCAGTACCCTGTTCTGGATAGTACTTCTGATTGGTCATGCTGCATGTGAAATTTGCTTCAACCAATCAAAAGCACTACCCAGGGTAGTGACACATTATTTTAGTAATGGTATGTCTGTGCTCGTTCCTCAGCCATCATTTTGCAGGGAAACTAGGCTACTAGTACGTGTACATGTAATGTATCAGGCCTTCTGATATTTTGCATGGTCATGGACCTGCAAAATTCAGGTAAATCCGTGAAATACTGCAAAATTCACAAAAACATGCAAAATACCATGAAATTTGGAAGAAATCTTATAAAATACATGTCTGTACTGCATTATCATTATCATTATCATTATCTCAGCTATTGGGGCTATATTTACTTGCCGTGCTATATTTACTTGCCGTGCTTTACTTTAAACATCCCGAAACTAGCAGGTGTAGATTATGTTACGAAAAACTGGGCATTAGCCATGATGTTAAAGGCTTTGCCATTGGTTCATTTCTGGAGCATTTTGTTGTTGAAAGAGCAAAATAATGTCTGACCTCTGTTAGAAAAATGTTAAAAATGCTGGTCTGATCAGCGCAAAACTGATCGATTTCTAGCAAAATTTGCCCCGAAAATTCCTGCGAAATTTGACTTTTTTTCTGCGACCTATCAGAAGCCCTGATATATCTATTAAGTAAAGGTGGGGAAGGGTTTGGGCAAGTATAGCTCATTCAGGTATGATTGTTTGATTGTTGTAAGTGCAAAACCATTCAACCACGTGGCTAAAGAAAAGCTAAGCTGGTTTTCTATTATTCAAGCTGACTTAATCTGTACATTCAAAATTATCCCATGGCTTTGTTTTGCAGAGCAATTTTGAACTGTTGGGAAGTTCTTTTCCATCTGGTGAAATAAGCTGGTGGTCTGGTCTTAGTGATATTTCAGACCACAGCCAGTGCAATTTTATCCAGACATGTTTTTCCATGATTGTATGTGTTCATATAATTTTTAGAGACTTTAATGCATTTTTTGTCTTTGTAGTTGTTGTTAATGAGGGAAACTCAGAATGTTTTGTACAGAACTCTAGAGAACCTTGAAAAGGCTTTAACAGAGGTAAGATAAAGAACGAGATTTGCTTTGCTTACTTCTCGTAGAAGAACGGGCCCATAGTATTCTTTGAACAGGATCAGAGACATATAATGTAGACCCTGGTGTTATGGCTTATCTAACTTGTGCCATCATTTGTCTTGCCTTGGGTGGAGAGTATGTCTTTATAATTATTATCATAATTATCGTACATGGAACCCATTATTATTACCAGTAATCAAAAGTCAAAACTTATCTTTTGATCAAAGGTATTATAATTGTCACTGTAATGATAATCATACAATGTACTTTCTTTTTTTATAATAATTATTATTATTATCATCTTCAAAAATGTGTTTATTTTAGGATGAATTTCTAAGGGGAGAGAAGGAATTGCAGCAACTATTTGACAAAAGCGAGGAGTTACTTGTTATTGTGCAGGTACTATTAAAAGCTGTCTAATGCATATATAAATCTCAGCTACTCTTAGTGAAAATTTTGGATTTATATAATATATAGATTGTTTTGGAAAAGAAAGCATTCACCGTTTAATCCTAGACAGAGTTATAGTAAGACCATTTCTTCATTTTAAATTTCAAGTTGTGAAGAAAATCCTATAAACTGTTTTACCATAAACCTCTTTGATGTAAGTTCTTTTGCATCGTACCATTTATTGTGGATTTTAATACTGCTTGGCCATTGTTTGAACTGAAAGGGTTTCCTAGTTAACTTGGTTTCATTATGTTGTTCAGGTTTAAACAAGCTTTCCACTTTTGAATCTCCAGCTTCCTTTAAACCGTGTTAAGTACATTTTGTCCATGACTGTATAGTTTATGATTCAGTAAAAAAAAACAAAGGTATGGTTTCCTGTTTCAGGTGTTAATGAAAATTCGAAATGAACTTGCGCATGCCAGGATGGATCTAGAACGAGCCATAAGAGGAAACTGTGGGGTAATATTATCCACATGTATTTGAAAGTACTTGTACATGTTGTCATTGAACCTTGATTTTAGACGGTCATGTAGTTGTTTTTGTTTAGTAACTGGACTGGCACACAAATCAAGGAGAACATTTTGAATACAAATACACAGTTTACACATGTAATTATTATTTTATTACTACCATATGCAGGTTGATGCTGCCAAAAAAAGAGTAAAATGGCTTCAAGATAGGCTGGAAAAAGTTCTACTTACAGCCAAAAGTTACTGTCACCTGTATAACAGATCTTTACTGAGAAGCAAGGTAAAAGTTTATAATGACAGTTCCCAGTACCTGTAGCTAATTTGAGTCTTTCCATGACAGGGATGTCACTAAGATTTCAAGTTGCTGGGTAAATACAACAAGTAGGTGGGGAATCAAACAGTCAAGGATTTCTTTTGGTTCTATTTTTCTTCTGTTTTCCTATGAAAGTAGCCAGGGGCCATGTTCATTTTAGTAGCTGTGGGAAATCCCCAGCTCCCAGCTCTTGATGACAGCCCTACATGAGCAGTCCAGATCACATTTACTGTTGGTGATAGTGCAATCAGGCAATGTTTTAATATGTTAAGCTCAGTGCAAACAGACACAACATTATTGGCCAACAACTCCCAACATTGTTGGATGTTATATGCTGCGTTTATTTGGACACCCTGTCGCATGTTGTTGTGCGTTGTTGGGAGTTGTTGCACAAAGTTTGAAACTGGTCAAACTTTTTAGAGCTTCGTGCAAACGGAAGCAACAACTCCCAACATTGTTGGGCCAACAAGGTGGGGAGTTGTTGTGTCCATTTGCTTGTAGCTTTACAGGTCAAAATTAATTGATTTCAGGTTAAAATTTTATAACCTACTGTGCAACTTGTAGGTTGATTCTCACTTTCCATTGTCTTCTAGGGCTAGCTAGGAAATAAAGGAAATTGAGAATTAACCTATACTAAAGTTAATAAGGTAAATCAAAATTAACCTGAAGTCAAATTTGACCTGTAACATTGTGTTTAAATGATGACTGTAATGTTGTTTAAATTGGATTCTCCACATTTTATAAATTTATGTTAAGTCATTTTTAATGTTAATAAGACTTTATTTTATAACAATTTCTTTTCAACTTTAGACACCCCAGTCTGGCTTAAAAGATCAAATTTCTGAAAAGATTTGGAATAAACTTTCTGAAGGCCAACAGCAACTGTTGCTTGAAAGTGAGGCAAAGAACAAACCTAGTATTGTGGATGACAACCAGGCCTTGCCAATTGTGAAGGAAATTACAAAGATGCAGTTGCCACAGACTGATTCAGTAGGTAATGGATGTCCTGTTCCGATGTTTTGTAAATCTTGGGCTTTTTATTTAATGCCACTCAAACATATAACTACATGTACACTATCCTTCATTTACTGACATTTTTCCTATTCCACTTCAATCCTGAAAATGCCCAAACCTATTGCTACAGCAGAGGGACTCAGTGACAACAATGAATGGGAGAGGGGGGAAATCTTATGTACAAGTCAGAATTCCTTCTCTGAGGTGCATACCAGAAAACCTTTTTTGCAAAAGCATCTACTTATTTGGCAACTTGTTGTAGCTTAAGGTGCATAATGTTACCAGTCAAAATTAAATTTTATAGGTTAGAATAATTTTTTTAACCTTCAATGTCGGACAAAAATAGTAGGGACACTTCCAACTTCTGGTCCATCTCCTTGTCCTCCCAATTAGCAATAATAAATATTGAATGAGGCTGAGTATCATCTGAAGAATTATGGAAATCGAGGGGGGTGTTACGGCCTTGGCAGATAACACCCTCTGAGATCTCTATAATTCTTCAGATGATACAAAAGTCAATAATAATTATCGAATTCAGCTTTATTATTTAGTCAAAATAGTTTTAAAAACAAGCTATTAAACATGCTTACCTTCATCGATGTTAAGTTCATCTTCGATAGTGCATGTTTATCTGCAAATTTAGGAGATAAAGGGTTGTTCAGGTCTGCAAAAATTCTCCACATTTTTTCTGTACCCTGTAGCGGATGTCGTCCATCGAGTTGTGTTCTTACTGTTCTTGCTATGTTTTAGTCAATAGTTGGCCCACTTCTTCCTCGTGAAACGAGTGAAATATTCAGCCATTTTTTAGTCACTACCAAAACAACTCAACCTTGTCGCCAGGTCTTCTTGGTTAACAGTTCAATATTCTGGCAAATTTGCTGCACGATTCCTAATTTCAATATTGCAGTGTTTTTGTATGTTTACTTATATACCATACCTTGTTTTTTTAGAGGCTGTAACAGTGGAGAGTGAGAAAAGAAATACAGAATTTAAGGACGAAGGGTCAGGTGTCTCGGTATTCATTACAGATACAGTACAACAGGGACATGGTATTGGACCTACCACACAAAACAGGTAAAATTTCAGACATTTTCAGTTAGTTACTGTTAAGTCTAAAAAACTTTGTTGATTGTACAATGTAGGGTGCGTGCAATTGAGCCGTGCAAATATAGTTGAATTTTAGCACTCTTTTTATAGACACGAAATTCTAGTTTTAACTTCTGTTTTGTGTTATATATAAGTTAAAAATCTTTGCAGTCAAGAATAAAAATTCCACTCCAAATAATGAGAGACCTTTGAATACTTAATGGTAACCAGATTCACAAACTGGAAAAGTTTTTGCTTAAAAGAAGTATACCAGTGCATGTAGATCAACTTACACTTACAGTAATATTGTTGTTTGACAGAAAACAGAGAAAAAGATCCGATGGCTCCAAACCCTCTGGTGATAATTTAGGCTCCAACAAAATGATAGAACTGTTTCCTCCGACCAGTCCACGAGATCGTCATTCTGACCAAGAATCAGTCACCACTGCTGAACCTCAGTCAGAGCCAGAAGACTTTGATGATCACAGATCTGAATCCATTGTGAGTTCTGTAGGTGTTCATGAAGCAGATGGGACTGAACATGATACGAGGAGTGTTCCAACACTGGAAGTAACTACTCCTTCTGACGCGGATGACAGAACAAGTAAAGGTACATGTACATACTTTTATTGTGGATTTCTAAATACAGTGGAACCCCATTACTATACAGTTGTGTACGCTTGGGCTGTGAAATCCTGGTTGTAGTTTAAAGGAGTTGTATAACAAGGTTTTTAACAAACTGAACTCTCAAATGATTGTTTGGACTGAGCTGGAATTCAACCTATACTTTGTGGGAGAGGCTAGTACTAACAAGCCCGTGAATGAGCTCTCCATTTTAATAATAATAATAATAATAATAATAATAATAATAATAATAATAATAATAATAATAATAATAATAATAATAATAATAATAATAATAATAATACTTTGTTATCCCCTTCCTTTATGGGGCTTTTCAGGGATAATGAAACTTAATTAATAATTCAAATGGGCTTTAGAGTGGAATCAGGATTAGAGAAACTTAAGACATTTTAAGTAATGGAATTTTTTAAACAAAACCACTTAAAATTACGATTTAGGCCATTAAGTTTACTGGTTCCAATCATTTAATTGATAGAAGAGAAATTATTACAGTGTACAGCTGTAGTTCCAGAAAATATTTACTGTATCTCCCACAAAAGGGATCTGATCCCCTCCCCTTTGGAAATTCCAGTTTAGATTCAATGTATCGTTTTAAATTTTTGAGTCTTTGAGTACCCCTCTGCCGTTGGAATTTCCAATCCCTTCAGTGAGGGCATAGGGATATTTAATCTCGAACAACCACAGCCGGCTCAGACTCCATATGGGAGTTCACTGGAATTTGAATAGTATAATATAAGAGAATGTATGGAAAATAAACAAAATATGTTCTAAATTTCATTTGTTGAAAAATTTGAAGCTTTTTTATCGAGTTTAAATATATTATACACATAACACAAAAGCAGGTTGAGTCATTTATATTGTGAATTTTTTCAAAAATGCAACCTAGAACATATTTTGTTTATTTTCCATACATTCTCTTATAAAATTCAAATTCCAACGAAGTCCATAGGTTCTGGGTCACCTGTGGAACTACATTGTACAAAAAATGATTTGTAAAGCAAACTTGTGCGTGTGATTCCTTCCAGGCCCAGAGCACTCTCAAGACGTGACTGCAGCTTCAAGAATAAATGCAGTAGAGGAGGAAGATGATGTTTTCGTTGATACTGATGATGAGGATAAGGTTGAAGCATACTGGGGTTCAGATCATCACAAGTTTGAGTGGTCGGATTATATGCAAAGCCTTGATCCACGTTCATGGCATGCCCTTGGACTTGGTATCCCTGAAAGCTTCTTATCTAAAGGTTGGTATTCAACTGCTGCAAGTACACCTTTTTGCGTTAAAAGAATAACCTTCCCAGGTTTGATTTGCCCGGCAAACTTTTAAGATCAAATCAGATTGACTGTTTGCTGAGAGCTCCCACTACAGCTGGACTTATAACCGGCCAATGTTTTGCAACCACAAAAACACTCTTGTTGTCTTACAGTTTATCATCGTGTTTGAAATAGAGTTTGTGCTTAACAGTGATTCTCTATATCTTTATGTGTTGCTATTAGCTAGTGTAAGATCATGATTGCATGCATAATATATAAAAATCATGTCATTCATTATGTCTGATGACAAGTTGCCTTTGTTTGCTGCAAAAAGTATATAAATATTATTATACAGATGATGGTTGGGTATTTTACAGACATCTTCCTGTATCTGGTGAATAATATTTTTCAAAATGAAATTTTTTCCTCTTTAGAAAAAACACATTTTGACCCAGATTTACCTTGGAAAGAGAAGCCAATGAAAGTTAATAGTGTCATTGATGTACATGTAAGTATTTGTAAGAAAGTTTTAAATCATCTGAGTCTCAAAGTACTTCTCACTTGCAGCCTGCAGCAAACATACACTACGAATGAAACTAATAATGTTACAAAGGTTATTACTTGTTTTTTTATCAATAGCGTGGGAAGCAGCCAGCTTGGCTTTTCGTGACACCTCTGTTGGTTTCTCCTCAAAATGACGTCTGAGGAACGAGCCCACTAATTCCATAGTGGTGATGCATCAATACCCACATCTAACCTGTGAGCAAGCTCTTGGGGCACTCTGACGGTGGGGCGGGAAAAGGAAGGAGAGTTTGCAACTATGTCTCTGGAATTTAAATTCCACCTTCAATTCCCCTTTGGCTCCCCATCAACTAAGCAGTCAGATTTCCACCGATCAGCGCAAAGTGGAAATGAGTGCAAATGTAAACAAACATTGAAAAGCAAGTGCCAAGGGTAATGATGTCATTACTAATGTCATCTCCGCCAATTAGCATTTCGCATTGACTTTTGCGATGCAGGTATTCAGAGAGATGAAGTTGCATTTTAGCCCTCCTTCCTTTTCCCACCCCGTCACCAGAGCGCCCCGGGGAGCTTGCTTGTAGGCTAACCTACATCTGGGTAGTGCTTCTGATTGGCTAAAAATTTGCTTCATCCAATCAGAAGACCTACATGTACCAGATCTTAGTAGTGATGCATCATCAATATGAAATTTTTGTCTCATTGTCCAGACGTCATTTCGCAAGGAAACCTGTGTGGGGTCATAAAATATCAACTGTTTCCGCAGGCTATTTTATCACTTTTGATACATTACTTTCATTTGCCCCGTTTACAGATACATAAGTACGGCAATGGTAAAATTGACGATGCGTGAAATGATCATTATTACTTTTTTGTTTGGCAGAAAATTGCTTTGGATAAACTACTGGTGAGGCTTCACAAGATGTACGATGCTATTGGCCAAGCAACACAAACAACGATTGATCCAGCTACAAAAGTTGAGAAAATAGAAACAGTCATGGGAAAGCTGGACTGTAAGAGCTGTTGTACATTTTAAAATAAACCAGTAGTTTTTTCATCGGCGGTAATTTTCTTGAGGTTCAGTTTTATTGAAGAGGTAAGATCACAACAACTTTTCAAGCAAAATCGTCACTTGCTCTCTTTTTTGACCAATGTAACCACCTAAAATTATGTGATTATGAAAGGTAACTTCTTGGTGGAAAAAGCTCTGTTACACTGCGGTAATTTCCCAGACAGCAGATGGTTCAGAGTCATTAATTTATGTTTCATTTTGTGCTTATAGTTCAGTGGTTAGTCTTGAATCTCATTGAATTAGCCATCAGGTGGAAAATATAATGTATAAATTAACAGCTGTCAAGTGATTTTTGGTGAAATAATCGCCGAACGCAATTGTTGAATTAATAACGAAATGTCAAAATCCTTTTTTTGTTTTAGTGGAAGTGGAAGGGCCAGGTTCAGTTACAGAGAAACAACAGGTACTTAACTAGCACATTATTTTATTAGAGCCCCGCGCTACGGACACCAGCTGGCGAACAATTGTCTTTGTCCCGAGAAAGAGCTCAAATTATTGAGGATTTTACCCCTCTGCTGTCTTATTAAGGATATAACACGCCTTTTTAAAATATGATTTCTTTGGTTTCGTCAGGGTACACAACCTTCGATATCAAAACAAGCCAGCCGTGTTAGTTTGCCTCGAATTATCAGCCCAGTTGGTGGACAGAAAAGTATAATGTCCATGGAGAAGTACCCTGTAACCATACATGAACCTTCAGCTGTAAGAACTGCACGGCAGGTATGAGCCTTAATAATTTCATGTCTCCCCTCTCTTCATCACTGCAATGAATAAAACACTACTGTTTCACCAATAACTTTACTCTGTACGTGCATCATGTTTATGCATAGAATGCAAAACAGTCTGTATTTTTGCGTATTCAAGTGCGCGTGAACAGTCAAACGAAAGGTCTGGAGCGAGGCTTAAAACGGAGAGCGAGATTGGGGAGAGAAGGCTCTTAAACCGATTTTGAGATAAGGAAAACCCGACTCATGCAGTCAAACTTGTACATTTCTTTGCCGTCATTCCCCACTTCAGAATATCTTAAGAGAATGGGTCAAGATTTGGGCGCAATGATTTCTGGGATTGTTTTGGTGACATGCGGTAGTCATAAGTAACGCTTGATCCCGGAAATCGTTGCGCCGAAGGCTTGTATCCATTCCCCTTATAGTCTCTGGTGTGGGGTATGGTACCAAAACGGCGCAAAACGTCCTAATTTCACGTTTTATGGAGAACTATTTTCCCACATTTTCATGCAGTGAACCCATGAATTGAACCATTTTGTCAATGCGAAGTACATGGGGACGGGGAAAGCTCGATTTACTCGCTATTTGCCGCGTTCCTTCCACTTTGCTTAGTAATATATAATCGATTTTCATCATTTCCATTGAACCTTTTTTTAAATTTTATTTCAGAATCGCCAAAAGCTTTATCCTCAACAATCATCTGCCTGGTGTGATGATCTTGACAGAGGCAACCGGATGCCAAGAATTGTGAAAGTAAAATCAAACCCTAAACTTCACAGATCAAAAAGTGTAGCGCAGGTTCGTGTCGGCTGCCGGAGCATATAAGAGGGATTTAACCTTATTTTTATTTTATTATTTTTTTGCTTTTGTTTTTTTGTTGTTTATTTGTCTGTTTCTGTGAATTTAGCAGACCCTACGTTGTATATTTGGGCTGTAAGATGGCTTTCTTAACAATTCGTCTGTAAGTTTAGGCCTCGTTCACTCTTCATATTCCGCTGTCCAATCATCTTTGTTTTCAATGGTTTAAAGCATTTACAACTAAAAATTATTGAGGAAGATTTCAGGAAACCCACGATGAGCCTGTGCTACTTACAGTTTACTGATTAAAACAAATATTTTCAAAAACGCTGCCTCAAGTAGGAATTTTTGGTAACGGAAAGTTAAAGTTTTCTATGCGCGAACAGCAGAAACGTAGTTTTTTGACAACGCTCAATTGCTAAAGTTCGATCCATCCAGTCTTTCATAAAATGGTCCAGCAAGCACAAGTCAGTTGAATGGCGGAAAGGAATATAAATACACTTGCATGAGTAAAGCGTTTAACATATGAGCCTTCAAATGTCTTTGTTTTCAAGTAATATCAATTGTAATGACAATGCTTACATGTGGCCACCTATTTTACTGAGTAATTTCTAACTCTTGCCCCATAGCTACTAAAAACTTCGTAAGCCTTATTTATTTTTTTTTTACTTTAATTGAGTACAGCTGTATGTTTGAAAAAGAAACCTTTTGCCTTAATCTTCCAGCCACGATACTTGCCGAGAAAACAAGACAGTCCAAAAAGTGAGCGTCAACCAACAGAACTGTAAGTGTTATTTAGAAATTTAGTGTTCTACTGTTGTGGAGTTGAAGTACAAAGTATATGTTAACAACCTTCGGTACATGGGTTTTTTATTGACTTCAAAAGTGCTTCGACTTCCCATTTACAGTGGGGAAACTGAAAAGTCTGATTGGAAAATCTAGTGGTTTATGCCATGTCGTTTGAAAAGCTGCAGAAAATATGGGATGTCGTTTAAGGCGATCAGTAATTTTCCCATTCGTGTTAAACTCCCCAGCGGATTCAGGCATGATAAATGTGGGACTTACTCACGCATTCTTGTCTGCTTAACGCACACAGTAATTTTCAAGGAGTTAAAATAACTCCTCTAGTGGGGCTAATTTAACTCCTTACAGTGGAGTTATTTTTTGGGGAGTTATTTTAACTCCAAGAAGTAGTTTAAAGAACTCTTTTTCAGGAGTAAAAGTGACCCCAGATATTGAGGAGTTAAAATAACCCCCAAAAAGGAGATATCCTGTACCTAGAATTTTTACTCCACTTTCAGAGTTAAATTAACTCCAAAAAGAGTAAAAACAACCCATGTAAAGAGTAAAAATAACCTCATTTCGGATCTATTTTAACTCCAGACTGGGAATAAAAAGAACTCTTTTTCAGGAGTAAAAATGACCCCAAATTCGGAGTTAAATTAGGAGTTAAAGTAACCCCCAAAAAGGGGTTATTCTGTACCTAAAATTTTCCTCCATTTTTGGAGTTATAATAACTCGTTAAAAATTACGGTGCAAGGCTGCCCACGCTTAATGTAGGTTTTAATGTAATAAGCACCTTTACTAGCCTGACAAAACAACCGACATTTCGTGACCCCACCCTGGTTTACCCGCAAAATTCCTACTTCTGAGGAATGACTGCAGAAATTGATAGTGATACGTCATCAGTACTGAATTTCTGCTCTCGTTCCTCAGACGTTACTTTGCGGGGAAACCACTGGTGACGTCGCGAAATGCCGGTTGTTTTCTTTGGTCACATCTGAACCCATGTTCAATCAATCATTTCAGGGATCTTGCCAATGAATCGATTTGGAAGCCATCGATGGTAATGAAGATAGTTACTGCTCTGAAAGGTATTGTTGCTGTTAAGTTTGCCTTTCCCCGTGTCTCAACTAACCAATCTAATATACGCTCTATCATTTCCTTACTAAATGTGGTATGGCTCTCTGTACAGGATTCAGTATGGAAAGAGAACAGAGTTTGTTAGATCGTGATGGCCCAAAATGGAAAAGAATACAGGTACTGTCAGGTTAATACCATGTACTGATATCTTTAAAGATACAGATTCCCTTCCTGAAGAGGCCTCTCACATCGAGAGGAAAATGACAAGAAGGAGAGAGAATCATTTCTCTCATTTTTCTCTCGCTGTGGGAGAAACCTATAATAGGCGACCACTTTTTTCGCGGCTAAACAGTGGTAGCTTAGCCACGGGAGAGACACTAGTAACTAGTAACCAGTCCTGCAGAGATATTAAAGGCTTTTATAAATTTGCAGTAATGCTGTAAGCGTTTCTTTATTTCTCGAAGTAATTTTTTTTTCAGATTCTGCTAGGTGAAGGAGGAATTTTGTCATCAAATTCAACAATAGCTGCAGAAGCTGCGAAGGTTTGACTTATTAATACTTTCACTAAGATTTGTCTGCCGCTCGAGTCACAGGTTACCCAAGAGTGGGAAACCTGGGTACTAGAATTGAATTAAGTTTTTGAAATGCACAGATTAGCGAATTTTTATCTGCTCGTAATTTTTTTCCTTTACTTTTAAATGTACAAACAAATTTTACAAGAAAGTGTCATCAAACTGTTGATCTCCTGGAGTCTTTGTTGGTTTTTCCACTCGACGTTCTGCATTATGCTTTTTAGATTTCCTAGAGGAAGAAGTTAGGCCCTAGCTTTTAAGTGTGACTTTTGACCTCGGGATTGGAATACTGTCCGTTTGTACGGTTTTTGTTTTTACCGCATTTTTAAAGCGAACTTCGGCGACTTGTCTGAAATATATTCTCCAACCGCAAGTTGTCCCTTTACGTAGTTGTAATATTGTTGTCCACAACCTTTAGTTTTGTACTCAAGTGCATTCTACTTATGTTATCATTATGTCAACGGCGAAAAAAACACTTTCAGTACAGTCAGGTCTAATAAAATATACTTGCTGATCTTTTTTCTAGACTATTGGTCAACTAAAGTGCCATGAAAAATGTGTGGTAGATACACTAAGTCATGTGGTAAGTACCCACCTTTTCTGTTTAAGCAAAAATAAATTAGGGCCTCGAGCTTAGAAATTTCAGGTGTTTTCCTTGTCTGATATTCTTTGTGTGGGTTCTATAGATATATGTTCCGGTTAAAACTAACCTTCGCTTCTATTGGCAACGGTTACATTCGGCCTATGTTGTTATGAAAGCGATCCCTTCAAGTAGGCTATAGCTGTTGAGTTTGATCTTAATAAGTTTCCGTTGGTCCTGTGTTCATGTTTAATTGTTCTTTTTTGCAGATAAAATTACAGAGAGATCCCAAAGTCTGTTACGAAGCCTGCAAAGCAATGATCTTGTTAGGTCAGTCCACCTATTTATGCACATACCTCTTAACTGCTTCGAATGACACTTGGCGTGTGATCTAAAGAGCAGCTGAAAATAAGAAGCCTAGAGGAATTAATTTTTGTGGTAATTTTATGTTGGATTATTTTTGTACAGGTACGTGGGATCCATACGCCATGGGGGTAATCAGACAGTACATCAAAAGAGGTAAATGATTAAATGGTCTTGTAACTAAACCTTAAGATGTGCCGCAGCCATTTGTAGGCACAACTCAAAGGAAAATTAACAAGTAGCGAGAAATACGGGAAAATATGCGACTGATACTAAGTGCGGATAAACATGCGCCTGATGATAAATTTGAGTGGAAACGTAATACATATGTTTTTTGCCGGTTGTCAAACAGTTTGAAAAATATTTGACGAAAAGTATCGAGTGGACTTAAAACACCTGGTGCATGACCTCGCACCAATCACATTCCTTCATCAATAGTTCTATCGTTTCATAGATTTTTTCTCGTAAAATGCATTTAGTGTAGCTTTGTAGCATCGAACACACTAGGCCGCTGTACGCTATTCTCCCCATTTTTGTGCCCAGAACTTGACGGCGAAAAAGAACCACGAGAAGACTGTCAAACGTTTTGTTTGGCATGGAGTACATGTACTGGAAGCAGCATTGTCATGTCGACATGTCATCAGAAGCTACTGTGACTGTGTAAATGAACAAAAAGGCGTGTGGAAAGCATAACACATACAATAAAATAAATATCCAAAAAGGTGATGAATTGTAAGTTTTCCTCGTTTTATTTCACTTTCTCAAATTTTTGGTCACTCTCTTTCTTTCATTTTTTTATCCCAGGAAACAAGGATATTGTGCTGGAATTGTTATCAACGATGACGAAAGCAAGAGATATAGCATTTGTTGATAAGGTAAGGAATAATTTTAAAAAATTGGTAGAAGAAAGCAAAAATATAAATTTGTTTGAGTGAGGAGCCTGACTTGTAAGAAGCCGACCTATATTCGTTAATCGTTGAAATATGTCAGTTTGCCTTTATTTATTTACTTTTTCAAATTGATACACGAACTGTGTTTTGGCTTACATATTATTGTGCTCTTTCAGACCACGGCTGAATTCAAGAAGTTGGTGAATTTGCTCATCTTTACAATAAAAACTCAGTCTCCCGAAATGGCATTTCATGCCGCAGTGAGCTTGGGTCGACTATGTGTGGTAGAACCAGTCTCGAAATCGTACCTCATTTCCAGGCTTCCTGGGCTGTCTCCGCACGATAAAGGAGAGGTGGGTCCCTGTTATTGTTAATATGAATTTTTTAAAAAAAACATTGCTTAGAGGAAGAAATTCAAGGAATTCCATCACTATGTGAAGAGACACTGATAAACCTGGGGCGGAAAGGGCTGCCTGCGGAAAACTTGGACCAGTGAAAAAGGTAAACTACTTGAAGCCTTAATCCCAATTCAAACCAAAATATGCAATTCAGTTTTCCTACCCTGTCTTATTTCAGACCTGACCCAAAATTCGATGCCTTACTTCAGGCAATCAAATTAACCAAAGTGAGCTTCTTGAGAGATGAATAAAAGTGTGCTTCTTTCGAAGACCAAAACCAACTGTAGACTAATCTGTACGTTATTTCGGACCAGAGTAGATGTGTGATAGACCATTCCCCTTGTCGACCTGTTACATTAACTGACTTACTGGTTGATTCAATGATCATTTGATTCACCTCCAGGCACTTTACGTTTTGATCAAACAAATGAACTGCAAGGACAGACTTGTTATAGATGCTTTACTAGAACAACTGAGTTCTGCTTACAACTGGAAGGTAAGACTTTTATTTTGGCTACTTATTTGCTCTAGGAAGTGTATCTCATTTTTCTACTCTTGTAGAGGCTAACAAGATACTACTTTGAGGTGTTAATGGCGGGCGAGTAAGGCAAGCTGCAGATCCACTGATCAGCTTTGATTTGAAAAGAATCGTTTAAACGCTTTTTCTAACACTCTTTTCCCTTTTTGTCTGTTGAACAGCTAAGAATGGAAGCAGCAGACTTACTGATCTTTATGGGTATGTACAAGTACGGCTTAACGGTTATCTTGATATGAAAGCCAAAATAATACAAAAGGTACAAGCGAACAGACAAAAAATCAAAAGAAAACAAAATTTTACCTAAGTTCTCTCTCACGCACAAGTCTTGGCAGCACTGATGACGGTGTGCATATATGTAAAAACCTACTTGACCATATCTGCAGAATGAGAAAAGGGATTTTTGTTGTTTTTTTTCAAACTTTTCGCTTGCTTTTCAGTTCTTATTTGACGTGATGTTATCTTTGGGAAAGTCTCCTTCACACGTGCTACGTAATGTAATGTCGTGGATTAGAGGACAACAGGACGCGTCCTCTTTAAATCATATATATTATCAGTTAAAATCATGTTAACAGTAAGCTCGGACGTCAGCATACAAGGGTGCCAGTGGCAGCCGCTATCAGTACATTTATGAGCTCACCGTAACCCACCCATAGCCCATGATATGAATGGTGCGTGATAAACAAAGGACAAATGCAAGCAGCGGTACACGCACAAGAGATGTTCACTCGTCCAGTGTAGTAGCACAGTGTGATTCGCACGCGCATTTTAAAAGCCTGCATCTAAAGATGGCGGGCAAAAATTTTTCACCTTGCGTTTGCGTAGTCCTGGTGCACACGTGTTTAGTGCAAACGCACGCACAAAAATGCAAGAATTGAAAAATACTCCAATCCTTTGGTCGATGTTTGCGTTTGCGTTGACGTAGTTCACTCGCGTNGTTGTTTTTTTTCAAACTTTTCGCTTGCTTTTCAGTTCTTATTTGACGTGATGTTATCTTTGGGAAAGTCTCCTTCACACGTGCTACGTAATGTAATGTCGTGGATTAGAGGACAACAGGACGCGTCCTCTTTAAATCATATATATTATCAGTTAAAATCATGTTAACAGTAAGCTCGGACGTCAGCATACAAGGGTGCCAGTGGCAGCCGCTATCAGTACATTTATGAGCTCACCGTAACCCACCCATAGCCCATGATATGAATGGTGCGTGATAAACAAAGGACAAATGCAAGCAGCGGTACACGCACAAGAGATGTTCACTCGTCCAGTGTAGTAGCACAGTGTGATTCGCACGCGCATTTTAAAAGCCTGCATCTAAAGATGGCGGGCAAAAATTTTTCACCTTGCGTTTGCGTAGTCCTGGTGCACACGTGTTTAGTGCAAACGCACGCACAAAAATGCAAGAATTGAAAAATACTCCAATCCTTTGGTCGATGTTTGCGTTTGCGTTGACGTAGTTCACTCGCGTGTTTTTTTTCTACTCTAACACATTTGCGTCGCTGGTGTGAATCAGCCGTGAATCTGTCTTTTGTGTGTTTATTACAGGAGCCAGAGATGTATTTAAGGTCAAAAGCCCCGATGAAGTGTTTGACACATTAGAAAGATTGCTGTGGGATCACGCAAATAAGGTATGGAATTGAGAAGCTGCGTATAATTTCTGCAGTATGCGATTTGGTATTGAAATTAGCTAATCATTTTGTCTGGCTTCGTTTGCGTCCGCCTGATACAGACTTTTTTTTCCACAAAAGGACCTCCGTTTTTTTGGTGAAGTTGGTGTCTGTATAACAAAGGGTATCAGCTTTATTTGGCGTCCGCTCATTTTACGCTTTATTTACTTTTATTTTTTTTTTGCAGGAATTAAGGATAAAAGTTTCTGAAGCTCTGTCGTCACTGGATTTACGACAAAGAGCAATTCAGCTGGTTCTCCGGTAAGTGCAAACGTTTTTGTCATTCATGAAACTGTCCGTTTGTGTCCCATATCTGCCCGCTGCAACTCGATTGATTTTACACCAAAACGCACTACATCAGTTTAGAAGTGAAGCTCTTTTTAGAGCGAAATCAATTCTAGTACTAAACTGTTCACCGCGCACATGGTATATAATAAACCATGACGTACAAACCAGAGCCATGTCACGAAATTTATCAAAATTCAAACAGTGAGAACAGCCACCAGATTGGGTGAAACTAAAAAATAACTTCTCAGTACATGGAAAGAAGGTAGAAATAACTCAGCAAATACAAAAGGAAGCGCGGATGAACAAATCTGAAGAAGATGGAAACGGTTTCGCTATAATTCTGGTTTTTGAAAACTTGAAGACTTTTGTCGTTTGTAACGTTTGATATTTTGCTTAGAGGACATATTATTCGACACGAAGCTCTGATATTGTTATTCAGAAGTAATTTCTCAAGCTCCGTAGCGAATAGAGACGCGTAATTGGTATTATTGACAAAATGAACTAGAAAGCCCGAAAGCCGTGATACAGCCTCTTGAAATGCTGCCTGGTAATACTGTTTAACATTTGATGATTGTTATTGCCTTTTGTTTTTAATATACCGGAATGCGGCTTACTAAAAGCTGTCGTTTAATGTATTTATCTGACAGACATTGGCTTATCTAGTGCATTTTAAATCAGGCAAATTTCCATTAGTCAGCTTAAACAAGTCAGGAGTCAGTAAACCAATACACAGTAATAACCAGTTGCACGTACGCGTTTCCCGCGTTTTGGTACAGCAGTTCACACTTCCTGTCTTGATTGGTTCATAGTTTGTTCGTCCGTTCTGATTGGTTTGGCATCATTCAAAGAAAAACTTAGCACTTTAAAAAACGTATCATAATGTTTTCTCTTTAATAGACGTCTAGAAGACCCAGCTGAAGAAGTGCGAGCTCGTGCAGTGATTTCATTGGTATGTTGAACAGTACACGTATTAAAGGTTACTCGTAGTCTTTATGTCAACTCTGTACCAGGGCGGATAAAGGTAGGGCGGTGAAACGAGCGCGTCCGAGCAAAAAGGTGTGATGCAGTGGACTGGGACTCTGCTTAGAAATGTCGCTTGTTTTCGACTTCGGTCAGGGCTTGCGATGTGGTTTG